AGCTACTAGAAACAAGTGCATTACTAGTAGTAACAAGAAGCTACTAGTAGCAAGGTGCATCGAATGTGCAGAGCCGAGGCTTTGTGGTGGCACAGATACGCAAGGCGGAGAGCGAAGCTGGACGCCCGAAGGAGCGGATGTTGTGTCTCAGTGGACTGCCAATAGAAAAGACTTTTAAGAAAAATACTTTCAGGAAGCAATGGCCTCCAACCTACTAGAGATGGCCTCCAACCCAATAGCAATGGCCTCCAACCTACTAGCGATTGGCCTCCAGCCTGATTTCGTGCACTCAGTAGTGACAGCAGTGATGTTCTAGCAATGTGGGGCATGCGCCGGCGGACACGCTTTCAAAAATTGTCGATTACGACGTGCACTCAGTCAAAAACGGGCACAAGCGCAGGGACCGCCTCCCCAACAAGGTTGTTGTTGCGTAAACAGACCCAGTTGACTTCATTTTCACATGGCAGCTTCCCAACTTTGTCAAGAGCAAAACAGCTCTTTGGGTTGATTTCCAAGCCACGCTGGAGGCTCGACAAGCCTACCCACGAGCCCTTTTGACCAAAAGCCCTTTTGTGAATAAGCTACTAGTAACAAGTGCATCGCTACTAGTAACAAGTGCCTTACTAGTAGTAACAAGAAGCTAGTAGAAACAATAATTAGAATTACGTGTAAATAATAGCTTCCTCTTCTTTCATCGTGTTCACGACGAACCGCGACGCTCCGACCCTTCCCACCGCAAGCACGACAAAACGCGACGCTGTCGATGTCAGATCTATGGCTGTGAGATCCATTGTCAACTAACCCACCCAAACTCCGCAGAGTTGCCGGGGGTTGAATTGATACTTCACAACCTGTGCGCAACTAAGTAGTTTGTTTAGCTTTTGCGCAACATTTGCAGCTTAAGATAGCTTAAGGTATGAAGCGTTTGATCCAATGAACCATTTCGGCTTCAACTGGTGACAGCAAACCCATTTTGCAGTGCGTTGCACTATATCTGTAACACTTTGAGAACCATTCGAGACTGATTTGTTGCGACGGATAGAGCAGAACACCGGGTTTCATTTTCAGAAGCCTTGAATAGATGGTAGTAACAAGAACGCTACTAGGGGCTCCTGGCCTTACTACTAGTAACAAGGACGCTACTAGGAACAAAGTGCGTTGCAGCTTTTTCGCAATGATGTTTTTCGAGGACTATCGCTGGGATGGACGATCTTTCAGCGAGCAGCTGGGGGCCTCACTTTCCAAGTATGTTAAATCTTGGAGATGCCAAGAACCCTTCAGCCACAGAGAGAGGGAGAGAGAGAGAGACAGCTGTGCAATCTTGTTGGTTGAATTCAGAGATGATGCACTATTTCATATCGGGCCATCATGTGGCGCCTGACAATTGCTTTCTTGAGCACCTGCCGCAATAACATGGCCACAGAGCAGATGATGACAAAGAGTCCTCAGTTTATGACTTGTGATACCGGTTCAATTATTACTGTGGTCTCGCATGTTTTCCTTTCCCGACAGTGTTTGTGGTTTAGGGGATTGTACAGGACCATATTGGCATGGGTTGGAATTCTCCCTCTCTCTCTCTCTCTCTCTCTTCTGCACTTGTTTAGCTGCAACAAATCATGTATCAAGACAATGAACAATATCGAGTGGCATTTGAAGAACAACTGAATTGTTGGCCAGCCTGCGAATGGGCAATGTGCTGAGGCCAATATGATTTCATGATACTTTGTGTTGCATTTGATATCCTTGAAGACATACTGTAGTTCACGATTCTTCTTGTTACTCATGCACTATTAGGTTGGAGGCCTTACTCACATTTCTTGTAAGACAGTAGATT